ACAAATTTAATAATTTAATATTGAAAAAATTTTTACTTCATTAATTAATTTATTTAATATTAATAAGTTAATCTGTCTATTCATTAATAAATTTAATAGCATTGATTTTATTGATTGTAAATTATTTTAAAAGAAATGTGACCTTAAATGAACGAATAAACGAATCCAGTACCAAGTATATTCTTATTCTACCAATTTAATGTAATTGGAATAATTTTTCTATCTCATGCAATTAAAACACAATGCTGATCGGTTATACTTCCTTCTCATGCAATACAAAAAAGAATTTTGAGATTTATAAAATCAAATTATCCTGACTTATGCTAATACTGTATTTCTTTTTAATCGATATTTTAAACATACACATAATTATTTCTAAAAAATTCTTTCTAAATTGAATCTTCTGAACAGCTATATGTATTTTGCTATAAATTTTAAGGATTTATCACCACAGTTTTCAATTGAAAGCTCGCTGAGATTTTTTATTATTTATATCTTTCTAAATTGTAACATTATAAATATCATTTAACACCGTTTATAAATTTAAAGAAAAATTTCATAAATAATACCCTTCTTTATATACCGTATTTAAAAACTGATGCAGCTAGTAACTTTGCCTTAAAGATCGAGTTTAAACTTTTATGTTATGGTTCAATCGAAATCTGAACATGTAATCGCTCGTTCAAGATCTACACAAAATTTTTATTTTCTTATACTATACGTTCTTTGAAATCTAGATCGTTAAAACTGTTTTTGATTACTTTATTGTTAATTAAACTAATTGTTAATTTGTTGATCTTGTCAACAAACAAGATTTTCGAAACGAATAATCAAATAAGGCATTTTACTCGATAACATATGCGAAAATTCAAATCAGTATAATAGTCTACTTTTCTGTTTCCACTGGCATGGAGGATCATAAGTGGTAATAGAAAACATTAAAAAAAAGTTAACAAAAATAATCAATTAACGATAATTGGATCTCAGACGGTAAAGTCGTCATATTGTCTCTTTGAAAGAACTTGGATTGGAGTCCATATCGGAATCTCGGAAATGTTCGTGAGTAGTTTGATTCTGATATTCAAACTACTCACGTTCATTTCTGAAGTTCGAAAAACGTTCTCTTGGTGCTCTCATGTCAGAATGAGTTTCTTAAAAAAATCTGATTTTATTACTAATGCACATTAGGCCAGACAGTATCTTAACTGTTTCATGAAATTCATGACACATTTTAATACATGAACTAGTTTATTCATATGAATATCTAGATATTTGGGCAACTTATCGATAAACAATATATTTCTCTAGCATTACATATTCATTTAATCGATATAATTATCTTTCACCTTCCATTCACGGTAAAATTAATTTTTTATAGGGCCAGGTGGATTTATCTACTAAATCAAATAATTACATCTCTATATATTTCTCTAGCATTACATCAAATAATTCAACCAATCGACGATCACTTTACAATATATTTCTCAATATATTTCTCTAGCATTACATCCGTTATTAAACGGATGTAATGCTAGAGAAATATATTGAGAAGGAATGTAGACAGTGGTATGTTAGTAAATTTTTTAACAACCGGCTCACTTCAGGAATCCAGAGAGAAAGAGAGTGAAGAAGAAAAAAAATAAATGGGTGTAGAATTTCCAGAAATACTTTCTTAAAGTATTTCACATACCTGTATATTAAAAACGTTTTGGAATTCTTTTTTAAAACAAATTTTTGTAATTACAAAAAAATTTAAGATTTATTATTTTATTAAACGTATTTTCATGTACAAATAAAATTTTACCCAAATTTCAGAAACTGCTTTAACTTCTAATTTCAAAGGTTAAAAAAAAAAATAATATTTATAATAAGTTCCAAACAGCAATTTGGTTAGCACTAAAAGTCTTTTCCGATTTATGGCATATTCTAGTGTCTGTGCCCATCCTATAATTTGTATTTAGTCACGATTTTACAAAAGGTATAGCGTCCCAGTCTTTTAATTCTTTTCTCAGTAAATTGATAGTCATAAATTTAGACATGTGTTCATCCGTTTAAGCGTTTCTTATTTTCGTGCATATTGCATTCATTAAACTGAAATCTCTTTCAGCTTCTGCGCTACTAATTGCTATGACATTATTTTTCTAGCTTTTTCTACTGTTTCAAGAACTGATGCAATTTTTCCCTCTACATTGTTATCTATAAAATCTCTGAAATCATTTATATTTATTTTTAATTTCGAAACTTCATTTAATCGATATAATTATCTTTCACCTTCCATTCACGGTAAAATTAATTTTTTATAGGGCCAGGTGGATTTATCTACTAAATCAAATAATTCAACCAATCGACGATCAGTTAACTTACACTAGAATGTATTTTCAAATATTTTTCCTTCAGCTATAAATTTTAAGGATTTATCACACCATAGTTTTCCATTGGGAGGCTTATTGATATTTTATTAAACCGATATATACATTTCGCACCCTGTGCCTTGGTTATAAAATCTCATAAAAACATTGGTTTAATAGTGAGCTTTCCAATTGAAAACTGTGGTGTGATAAGTCCTTAAAATTT